ATGCTGACTCTCTGTAAACCGCTTAGAGAGGCCTGAAAGGCCTATGAAGCGGTATATAAGTCTACTGCTATTGCTATTGCTATTGCTATTCTCTGAACTACCGCATTTTTGGACTATAAGACGCTCCGAACTGTAAGACGCAGCTAGCTCTTGGGGAGGAAAACAAGAAAAAAAAATCTGCCTGTGCCTCCCAGCAATTTACCACCTTGCAGCCAACAGCACAGCCTGATTTAGCACAAGCAGCTGATTGGCGGTTGGATCAGTCTCCCGGAATACTGCCTATCAGCTGTTTCAACCTGTGGGGATCGCCACCACCTGTCGCTGCTGTTGCCACCTATCCCTGCTGTTGCCTATCGCCGCCTCCACGCGCTCCATTTTCGGCCTCCGCACGTCTTGTTTTTGGCCCATTCCAGGCGGCGGGGATCGCCACTATCCTGGCCCCCTGGAACAGGCCAAAAACAGGACGCCCAGAGGCCGAAAATGGGGCGCACTGAGGCAGCGATAGGGGGCAGCAGCGATGGGTGGTGGTGATCCCCACAGCCTGGAACAGCTGATAGGCGGTATTCTGGGAGGCCGATCCAACCGCCAATCAGTTGCTTGTGCTGAATCAGGCTGTGCTGTTTGCTGCAAGGAGGTAAATTGCTGGGAGGCAGAGGCCGAAAGATGGGGGCCAGTGGGTGGGTGGGGCTTTGGCAGCATTCGCTGTATAAGACGTACAGACATTTCCACCCACTTTTTGGAGGAGAAAAAGTATGTCTTATACACCGAAAAATACGGTACTTCTAAAAAGCCCCTTGGGCACAGAAAAATACATTTCTTACATCACTCATTTTCTGCAAATCTTCAGTGAATTCAGCTCTGGATTCGAAATTCTTCATTACCTTCCCCAAATCATCCAGCATTTTTCTTACACCTGAAATGACAAAAGAGAGGGCAAAATAATGTGACAGTAATTTCACAGCAAAAAGTAATTTAAGTATATTTACAGAGGGAAAATGAATCCTGTTCCCTTTTTCTTCTGGCCCAGAAGGTGTTTCACAAATAAGGCTAACATTTCTCTGATCAGTTTCTACACAACGCTCAGGTCACAGGGATGAGAAAAAGGGTCCCTGTGTAACTTATTTGGGGTCAGGGCTTTTACTGGTCCTGCCATTGCCCCGATATCTGGAAAGAGAGTAATACATTTTTACTTGAGTTCACTGAATCCCTGGTTGCTTAAAATGTATGAATCAGGGCACCAGGTATAAATCAATTCTAGCTTGCAAAAATAACCCCTCTTTGAAGTGTTCAAATATTGACTAGAACATATTTCAAACTGCTTTCTGATTTGTACCTAACAAACCAGAATTCTTCTAAAAACTAATTCAGTTAGTTGACTGTTTCTCCTGGATGCGTGGAAGGACAAGGAAAGTAGCTTGTTCTTGGTTGCATATGTCATGTGTGAGGTCTATGTTTGTGCAAATCCAGTTTCAAATTGGTAAAATGAAGTAACAATTTGTTCCCCTTCAATATAAGGCCTTGCAAGTGAATTCTGGATGATTCATGACATCTGAACCTTAAAGCCGTTCCATAACTCAGTACGTAAAATGTTGTTATTTAGTGAGGAGGACAGAAAAAAATTAAATCACTTAGCTATCAAGTATACTAATAATAGTTGCATAACATTATGTTTCCTTGATAAGATGGATTCCTAGCTTACCTATTTATTCCACTATAAGATGGTTCCAGGCCCTTATTCACAAATATGCTAGAGGAAATCTTTGCCTTAAGGCGGTGGTCGGCTGCTGCCGGTTCGGACCGGTTCGACCATCAGCTGACCCCGCCCACCTGCCCTATATTTCCTTCTGTCTGACTCAGCTGATTTCCACGCCTCTGCTATTCTATTTACTGGGGCTGCCTTAGAAAGTAAGTGCCTGAGCTTCAAATTGCTGTATTTTAGCAATAGCAATAGCAGCTATATATATATAATATACCGCTTCATAGGGCTTTCAGCCCTCCCTAAGCAGTTTACAGAGTTAGCATATTGTCCCCAACAATCCAGGTCCTCATTTTACCCACCTCGGAAGGATGGAAGGCTGAGTCAACCCTGAGCCGGTGAGATTTGAACAGCCGAACTCCAGAACTAGCAGTCAGCTAAAGTAGCCTGCAGTGCTGCATTTAACCACTGCGCCACCTCGGCTTTGAATGTGGCGGGCATGCGTGCAAAGTGCACAATCACCAAACCGGTTGTTAAATTGGTTGCAAGCCACCACTGCCTTAAGGATGCTAAGAATATACATCATGATCTGAATTAATTAAACTTGTTAAACAGACTCTTATTTCAATGACCCTGAATTTGGAGCCATCCTAAGCCTTAGGTCCTCGAGGAAGCATTCAAAACCACAAGAACAGCTTATACGAGTAACACTGGAGAAAAGAGTAAAGGAACGGAAGAATAAAAATAGAAAACAGGAGTGAATATAGAAGACCTTAAATAACCCTAAAGGGAAATACAGGATGT